TTATTGTCATATAGATAATTTTAATTAATTAATTAATTAATTAATTTTAAATTAACTTTTATCATTTTTTATATACATTAATTATAAAAAATATATTTATTACACATTTATTTTATATCGTAAAAACATATAATAAATAATTTGAAATTAAATAAACCTTTAATTCATTAGTAGAACTAAGAGTTACTAAAGTTCACTCACGTGGATACATAAATGTGAGTGGTGATGATGTGGCCAATCAATCAGGGGACATTAACAAAGTTTGAGACACCCATTAATTTTTGTTGTTAATTTGGATTAAAAATCTTAAATCTCAGAACTTAAAGTCTCAAAGTTATAGCTAGGAAAAATCAATTTCAAAATTTAGTGGTTCAAGGCGCAAATTTGTGGTTTTTGCCTAGCATAATGGTAAGCAAGGTTTGGTATCTCGTGATTTTAACAATAGAAAATGTCAATTCGGTATCAAAAGAATTGTATGAGTTTTTGTTAAGTCCACGCAATATCTCTTTTGGACGCACAGGACTGGCGGTAAAGACACAAATGAGTCTCTTTTTATTCTATGTGGGCACAATATATTGTATAAGCCAATTATTATTGGGATTCAGTTATCACAATTTTTTTGAGAAGAATAGTGATATTTATTTAAATTTTGACAATTTTATTTTTTATTTCTTAATTTTATTAATTAAAAAGAAAAATATCTACTGTAGATTATTTTATCTAATTCACCAACATAGAATTTTAAGAGAAGCTTTCATCTCCAATGTTTAAAGTTAAGAAAGGCCCCTCAAAAGTTGAAGAAAATGGTTTTAATACTGTATAATCTTTACCCACACCAAAAAAAAAAAAGAAAAGAAAAGAAAAGTTATTTTATAATTTAAATTAATAACACAAATTATTAAAAGAGTAGACAACTTTTAATATCTATCAGATAATTGAAATTATACAATATTATTTTTTTAAAAAAAAAGTCCCACCTTACTTAGTTTTGAATAGATGTTTGATAATTTGAAATTTTCTATATATTAATGTAAAATTTTTACCTTGATATTAGTAATATTTAGATGAATTTTATGAGATTTATTTGATTTTATATAATTTCTATTAAAAGAAGTAATAAAAAACTTATCTATAATAAAAAAAAATTAATAATTTCAACTTCTTTAAATTAGATTTTATTTTTTAAGATTATTTTTATTTTTTGTTTAAT